CAGGTCTACAGATCGAACCCCTACAACCTACAGACCCTACGACAACCTACCAACTGTTACGATTACACAGGTCACGGGTTCAACTCTCGGGGTCGACACAGGTAATGTACACAGGTTAGGTAAAGTCTAGGGATCGAGCCCTGGGATCTGCATTCGCTACTGCTAGCAGGTGAACACCATTTCAGTCTTCTTATGATTGGTTGTTTGGAGTATCTTCAGAGAGTGAGAAACACTCAGTGTTGTCTCCACACCTGTGCATGGTTGTTTTCCTCTGCCTACTCTGTCTGTGTGCAGTGTGTACTCTGTCTCCTTTCCCCTTCTTCTTATGCATGTATGGGCATGTATGGGATTGTCTGAGTGCGAGTGTTGATTGAAATCGGCAGACAACCAAATTCATAACAGAAGAGGTCCTGAGACAACCTCTCTTCTGCAACCCTTGGATCACTGACCCTAGTGGAGGGACATGGGCACTACGCACAAAAGACCGAAGATGGCTGTCCTGGGTGGAAAAGGCGTGTGGCCGGTGAAACACATCTGGGCAGAGGACAAAGGATGATGGGCTACCGAACAGGAGCTACGAAATGTCTTAAAAGGTCGTTGGCCCACTTCCTCCTCGGGCGATATCTCCCAACTCGCCACATCAGCAATCGGTTCCTCCCTGACGATCTCCGACAATAGGCAGGTTACAGCAGGGCGCCCATCCTCCAGCCACGTCAGCAGCGGGTAAGGAGAATGGTGCAGTTCCTTCCGCTGAAGATGATCAGCAAAGCACAGTGTCGACGCGATCAACCAGGTAAGCTTCCCTGCAACTATCAAATCAATCTCACAGCCCTGATCCTCCTCCTCCTCGCCCACACTCCATCAATGTCGGAATCAGTGTGGACACAGCCACATCAGCATAATCACTCACAAGGCTGGCACCACAGACAGAGAATGGCGCCGGCATAAAGCTTCAGCAGTCTCACGTTGTCGCACCAGCGTCAAGCCAGCGTCCAGCAGCACACACAAGACTGAATGATCTTTGGCATGGGCTGGGTCAACTTATAATGTTGACTCACGTTGACCAGCCTCTGGTCTTCTGGATCCGACGGCGCAGATTGGTCGTCAGCCAATGGCCTGGATTGCATACAGTTGCAGATTTCCCATGTGTCCCACTCGGACCAGATTCTCCTGGATACCTGCAGACAACCAAAGATGTGTATCCGATCTATGGCCGAGGCTGGAAACGGATTGACTTTGACTCCTGGGCCTGAATTCCCGAGCTGGCGTTGACTGTTGACTTTCCTAGGGTCAACTGTCTTCCGTAGGGCCTTTGAAGGCCAGTTTTGACCTTGTCTTGGGTACCCCACACCATCAGACTTTTGTTCAGGCATTTCCACGACTTGGGCGTGACTTTTGACCCCCGTTTCAGGCCTTTGACCAAAAGTGACGACCCGCAGCCCATGGCTGATGCAGATTTGAGTTGAGTTAGTGCAATATGCCGGGATCGCAATCAAAGGAAACTGAATAAAAACGGACTCAGAAGTTGTGAGATCAGACAGAATGCACACATGCTGGTGAAATCAGAGTTGTCTTTGACTTCACTTTCAGCATGCATACATGCAGGTGCCGATGGCAGACAACGTTCTCAAAGTAGGATCAGCAACAAGGGTGAGATGGCGCAGTGCGCCTGCACAGAAAACTCAGCGATATGGCCTTCAGCCAAGGACTCAGCTCAAGTCAACTTGTCACATCTTGCAGCTATGGCGTCTGAGCGCCAGTCTGAATTCCCACCTGCACACTGTATCCACCATCAGACACGCTGACACTCACTAGCACACACGTACACACACACTAGGATCTACCCTGAATGCCCACGCATGTACAAACTACTGACTCTGTCCCACTGGCGGCTATGGCCGCTCGCCCTCTTCCACCTTCGGGCTTCTTGCTGTTACATGCCCAGTTGGGCGATGTACATAATAACCCGAGGATCTGCAATGTGATAAAAAGGACTGCATGGACAATGCAGTGCAAGTGAAATCTCAACAAGCAGTGTACATTCTGATACATACAAAAATGGTGCTTTATAGCGCAGTGGAAGACTTAGACACAAGTCCTGACCTGACCGGAACTGACCTCTATCACGTAGTGTAAGACAGCGGAGCAGAATGCTAGAATATCAATGACTAGCCCAATCAATGTTGCGACGCAGACCAAACATACATCATCCTCATCACAAAGTGTGAAGGGGCCTGGCGCTACACACAGGAAGGATGCGCCAGGTCCAAATCATGCACAGACGAAGAGGAGGGGAACAGACGAAGAAGAGGGGGGAGAGATGGGAATGTCGTCAACACCAAGTCTTTGTTAGAAGTCCCAAATAATCCCTCGTCAAAATGTCTGAAGCCCAATATCGAGTCTGGATCCAAATGTCACCAAGCCCGCTCTCTCATCATCTGCTGATGCAGTGAAGTCAGGTAGCGAGAGGGTGAGAGGGAGATGGTGGACTGAGAAGAGGAAGAAGAAGAACTCTCTCTCTCTCATGTGCCAGTTACTAACCTGTGAAGATGGCGCTGTGCTGCAGGTACCTCGAAGGCGAAGCTGGAGCTATGGTGCTGCAGGTAAGTATCCCTGGCCTCCGCCCAATCTCTCTCTCGCTAGTACTACTCTAGCTCCTAAAAGCGCCCAGCGCTGAAGACTACTGCTAACGCTACTAGCACCCAGCGCTGAAGACTACTGCTAGCGCTACTACTACTACTGCAGCGCTCCTCTAGAGTGCTGCTGCTGAATCCTGAAGACTACCTCCTGCCTCCTGAACTGCACGTGAAGTGCCTGGGAAGTACCTAGGAACTACCTACCGGCCTGCAGGGCGGGCCAGTCCTACATAGTGCTGGCCCGTCCAGGAGGCTGTACGTGCCCGGTTGGGTGATGTACGTAATAACCGAGGATCCGCAATGTGATAAAAAGGACTGAATGGACAATGCAGTGCAAGTGAAATCTCAACAAGCAGTGTACATTCTGATACATACAAAACGGTGCTTTATAGCGCAGGGAATCCTTAGATACAAGTCCTGACCTGACCGAGACTGACCTCTATCACGTAGTGCAAGATAGTGTAGCAGAACGCTAGAGTATCAATGACTAGCCCAATCAATATTGCAACGCAGACTAAACATACATCATTCTCATCACAAGGTGTGAGGAGACCTGGCGCTATACATAGGAAGAAGGCGCCAGGCCCTGATCATCCACAGACGAAGAGGAGGGGAACAGACGAAGAAGAGGGGGAGAGATGGGAATGTCGTCAACACCAAGTCTTTGTCACAAGTCCCAAATAATCCCTCGTCAAAATGTCTGAAGCGCAAATGTCGAGTCTGGATCCAAATGTCACCAAGCTCTCTCTTTCTCTCGTAGTCTGCTGATGCAGTGAAGTCAGGTAGCAAGAGGGTGAGAGGGAGATGGTGGACTGAGAAGAGGAAGAAGAAGAACTCTCTCTCTCTCATATGCCAGGTACTAACCTGTGAAGATGGCGCTGTGCTGCAGGTACCTCGAAGGCGAAGCTGGAGCTATGGCGCTGCAGGTGAGCATCCCTGGCCTCCGCCCGATCTCTCTCTCTCTAGTACTACTCTAGCTCCTACGGCGCCCAACGCTGAACACTACTGCTAACGCTACTAGCGCCCAGTGCTGCAGACTACTGCTAGCGCTACAACTACTCCTGCAGCGCTCCTCCCGAGTGCTGCTGCCGAATCCTGAAGACTACCTCCTGCCTCCTAAACTGCACGTGAAGTGCCTGGGAAGTACCTAGGAACTACCTACCGGCCTGCAGGGCCGGCCGTCCTAATTAGTGCTGGCCCGTCCAGGAGGCTGCTCTTGCCAATGCCGAAACGTGCCAGACCCTGGCGTTGAAGCTCAACCAGGGGTTGTCTTGAAAACAGGCCTGAAATGGCCTGTGCTAAAAACCCCTGGTTTGTTGCCTGAGTCTCAGGGCGGGTCGGACTGATGAGGGCCTGAAAACGGCCCTCAGTTTCAGGCTGAAAATACTCAGGGTCGGAAAGGCCCTGATTTAGACTGAAACCACACAGGGCCTGTAGGCCCTTGTTTTCAGGCTTTTGGCCTGAAAACGTCACGGGCCTGAAAGGGGGCCCGTGCAACCTGTTGCAAGCGCAGCATGTAACACACCCCCCTCCTTATGAAGTCAAGCCGGGGTGAGGGCGAAGCTGACAATCTGAAGTTGGAACGTGGATGCGGGTGCGACGTGGAGCCGAAGATACCGGCTTGCCTTGCATCTTGCGTTCGTAGCGTGCGAGAACATCCGGAGTTGTTGCTTGGAGTTCCGCACGGGTCAACCAACGGTCAACTCTGTGCCTGCAGTACACAAAGTGTACCAAGTACTCGGTTGGCCTATTGCCGTAGCGCCGCTGGGAGATGATGTTGCCGACCTCTTGAAAACCGTCCATAGAGGGTGGGTCTTGCGATCGTTGCTCGGGAAAATCGTCATGGTCCACTGGTGTGTAAAGAGTCAGCTTGGAGCAATGAAAGACCGGGTCGACGGGCAAGTGGGCGGGCACCTGGATAGTGAAGGAAGGTCCCTCGGGTGCATCCCCAGCGGGTGCCACGATCGGCCAGGGCCCCATCCATTTCGGAAGGAGCTTGCGAGAGATATCTTGTTCAAGGCTGAATTCCGCGACGGAAACCCAAACGAGATCGCCGACGCGGAATGGGCAAGGAAGACGCTGGCGATTGGCCTGTTGGCTCATGCGTTGTTGCGTCTTGGCCATCTGGTCGCGTGCCTTGACAAGTAGCTCCTGCATCCGACGCAAGAAAAGAAGATGGTCGTCGCTCTCGGCCGTTCGTGGAATGATTGTGTCGAACGACGAAGTGACCGGCGAGTCGTGCTCGAACTCGAAGGGCGACATAATGATAGTCGGGTGGATGGACGAGTTGTATGCCAACTCGACATCCGGCAGCCGCTCAACCCAATCCTTTTGGTCGGGACGTATGAGAGTGCGAAGGAGAACCTCTGCGGTCTGATGCGCCCTCTCCGTTTGGCCATCGGTTTGGGGGTGGAGGGCCGAACTTGGCTTGAGAGATGAGCCCCATCGTTTGATGAGCGCCAACCAAAAATCGGACATGAACCGAGTGTCGCGGTCACAGACGATTTCCTTGGGGTGACACTTGGTTCGAATCCAACCGGGGTAAAGAACCTTGGCCAACTCCGGTGCCTTGGCATGATAGCGGTAAGGCAAAAACATGGCAAACTTGGTGAGTCGGTCGACCACGGTGAGAATCCCATCCACACCGATCTTGTGCTTGGGGAACGGCCCAGTAATGTCCATGGCAATCGCTTCCCTTCGGCGCAAGGGGACCGGTAGCGGTCGCAACTCGCCGTACGGACGATGGTTGCGGGATTTGCAGCGTCGGCAAACCTCGCATGACTCGCAATAGCGTGTGACGTCGTCGAGAAGGTCGGACCAACAAAATTGCTCGCAAAGTCGACCAATCGTGCGATTGACTCCAAAGTGTTCGGTGGCGGGAGCATCGTGGAACTCGCCAAGAAGCCGTGTACGCAAGTGAGAGTCACTCGATACGCGAAGAAGGTCCTTCCCCCGCGTGTGGACAAGCAAGTACCCCTCTTGGATCGGGTAGTGAGAAGGCGCCGGATTAGGAGAGGAGCAATTCGTGTACTTGTCACGAAACTCGAGGTCGGCTTGGTAGCCGCGGATGAGACTGTCCCGCAGGTCGTCGCCGATCTCAAAGGTCGAGTAGACTGCGGTACAATGATCCGAACGTCGTGAAAGAGCATCCGCAAAACGGTTTGACTTCCCCGGAATATGATCGGGAAAAAAGTCAAATTGATCGATGAAAGCCATCCATCGGGCGATGGTGCTATTGGCGGTGTCTTGGGTCTTGTAGAAGACCAACAGATTGTTGTCCGTTACCCATCGAAATTGGCTTCGACCAAGGAGGAAGTGCCGCCACCGCTTGAGCGCGTGGATGAAGGCTAGGAGCTCCTTTTTGCATGCATCGTCAATGGAGTGCACGACGGGCACTTTCTTGCTGAAGTACTCGACCGGGTGCCAGTCCATTCCATCGTGTTGCTCGAGGACGGCACCAATGCCATAGCTGGATGCATCCGTAGTGACGCGCGTTGACAATAGTGGGTCGTATATGTGCAAGACCTCCGCAGATAATAGCGCCACTTTGAGAGCCAAAAATGATTCCCGCGCATCCTCCCCGAAGTCAAACGGCCGATCCTCGCATTGAAGCTTGGACAAGTGGGCCGCAATCTTTGAGGATTCCTTGATAAAACATTGGTAGTAGCCGGCAAGGCCAAGGAACGAACGGACATCCGTGACGTTCCGCGGACGCGGCCACTCTTGGATGGCTTGCATCTTGTCCGATAGCGGACTGATGCCCTCCGGTGTGATAAAATGGCCCAAGTATTCCAGCTCTTGCCGGACAAATTCGCACTTGTCGCGGTTGGCCTTGTACTTGGCGCGGCGGAGTGTCTCCAACACTCGTTGAAGGTGCACAAGATGATCCTCCAATGACCGGCTATAGACGAGAATGTCGTCTACGTAGACCAGCATGAACCGGTCCAACATCATACGAAAGTCGTTGGTCATTGCCGCTTGAAATGTCGTCGGGGCGTTGGTGAGGCCAAAAGGCATGACCACCCACTCAAAATGCTCGTACCACGTCTTGAACACGGATTTGTAGCGATCGTTCGGCCGGATCGAAATCCGATGGTATCCCAACTTAGAAAAATACTTTGCGCCGCCCAATCGCTCAAGAAGATCGTCGATTCGGGGAAGAGGCCCCATATTCTTGACGGTTTGCGCGTTGAGCTTGCGGTAGTCAATGCACAATCGTAGATCTTTGTTCTTCTTCCGTACGAAGAGAACTCGAGCTCCGTATGGAGAGTTACTAGGGCGAATCCAGCCCTTGTCCAACAAATCATCGAGTTGCGCGTGGAGGACCGTAAGCTCCTCCTCGCTCATGCGATAAATGCAACCTTTCGGCGGCACGGCACCGACCTCGAGAATGATCTCGTGAGAGATCGGCCGATCCGGCACCACACCGGTAGGTGACTCGAAGATGTCGACAAACTCGTCAAGCAACCGCACCACATGGGGGTCCGAAGACAAGTCCGTGGGTGAAGAGTCGGCTACCGCGACGGTCCGTAGGAAGCATAGGTCGATTTCGTCGGGCTGATCGTAAGCACAAGTAGCCCGAAATGATTTGGTCGTCACCACTTGGCACCGAATCGAAGGGTGCGGAAGAGGAATAGTACACGACACTTCAGCACCGAGGGTGTCACGAACGGTAAGAGTCCGCCGGTGGAAGTTGACCGTGTAAAGTTTACATAGCATTTCCAATACTACACCATCGACCACTCGGACATCTTTCCATTCGGACATTTTGGGAACTTTAAATTTCTTATCAGACTCATAAAAAATTACCGGTACGGCCTCGATGTAGCGGTCGATAAGCTGCTGCGTCCTTCCGTCTGCCAACTTGATCGCCGTCGGGTTTGCCTTCCTTCGAACTTGTGCGCCAAGGCCAACCTTTTGCATAAAGGCTTGGCTCATAAAATTGTGAGACGCGCCGCTATCCAACAAAGCGCTGCAGGACGCTTGCCCAACTTGGATGCGGACATAGAGGAGCGGTGCGTTGTTGTCATCGTACCGCTGCTTGTGAAACTCGCGGGCCACCTTGGTAACATACGCAAGGATGTCCCCCACCGCGACTTCGTCATCCGTCGGCGAAGTTGGTGGTGCATAGAAGGATAAGTACGTGTGAAGATGAGCGTATAATGTTGCGCATTGCGGTACCGGCAAGCGGCCCGTGATGGGGAGAGGAAGCCATGCGAAATCCTCGGACATGAGCGGGTCCAATACCTCTATGTTGAACTTACGCGCGCCGAATCCCGTGAAGAACCACTTAAAGACGATAAGTTACCGTTGTCAAACGGAGAAGATGCCGCACACACGTCTTGTCCTTGAGCATGAGTACCCAACGTAGGAACGAGTCTGGCAGCATAGTCCTCAAAAGAATAAAGAAGAGGAGGACTATCAACTTCCGCATGTGCCTCGGAACGAAGGGCGGTCACCCACGAAGTGATCGGTTTCGAAGGCGTCGAGAGTGTCGTCGAGTCACTCCTGGCGGTGCTTAGTTTCCCGATTTGCCCTTGCCTTTCGACTGGCAGGCCATTGTGTCGTGGAGATCGTTGTTACACCACAGACAATAGCGGAATCTCGTGCGTGCCTCGTATGCTTGCTCGGAGAGATCGTAATGGGACCATGGGGTTGGAGCTGTTGCGCCGGGCCCAGGGCTAGATGCGGTGTTTGTCTTTGCCTTGCAGCGTCCTCGGCCTCTGCCGGGGCGGCCACCTTCCCGGGGGGCTACGAGTCTGTCCCCTTCATTGGCAAACACGACCTCGCTAGTTTGGTCGTTTGGCGTTGGCGCCGCGACCACGACCACTTTCGGTCGATGCTGATCTCTGCTCAGGCCTGGCGCAGACGAACGCTGGGGATTCCTGGTCTCCTTGTTCATGGCAATAATTTGCGCGGCCTTGTCGAAGAGTTTTGCTGGTGTCGTCAGGGTGTCCTCGACGTGAGTCAAGGCATTGCCCAACGCCGGACAAGACCTCGAGATGAAGTAGTGTTTGATGGCTTTGAAGCCCATTTGGATGTCTGGGACAGATGTCAAGCGTTGGTACTCGGGAATCCAATCAATACTCGGCAGTGTGCCTTGTTCGAAGACCATCAGCTTGTCCATTGCCTTGATCTCCGGCGGCTCTACTTGGAACCGCTTATGACACACCGCCTTTAGATCCCCCAAGCTGATCTTGGTATGTAAGTCGGCAGTCACCACTTCATAGTTGGATACGAGATTGTCCGGCCATGCTTGGCACGCACCCCCCAAGCGGGAGTATAAGTATGCGTGATGCTTGTGCTCGCTGACGTAGTGTACTTGCAACGTGAGCTCGAACTTGCGGAACCATGGAATCGGGCCGTCTTCGTCGAGTCGCATAAGATCTGTTGCCCATCGAACTTTGGAGTTGTCTCGTGCGGTTTCGAGCTCGAGTGGTTGGTGGCAGTACAGATCCGCTGCTCCAACTGTTGCGTTGTGGTTTGCTGTAACTGCACGCTGTCCTTGAGGGATCCGACGTCAATCTCCAATGCCTCGAGGCGATTGGAGGTGTTGGAAGAGTTGGCAATGGGGGCGGCGACGGTTTATTCCAGCTGCTGGAGGCAGCTGGTGAGTTGATCAAACACCTGATTGTGTGTCTGAACCGCGTCGCCGAGGTTGTGAATGTCCTCCTGTTGTGCAATGCACGTGGCCAGGAGGTTTGTGAGATGGGAGAGGAGTAGAGCGATCTTGTTTCCACTCTCTTCCAGCTTCCCATTCTCAGCCTCGGCCCGCGAGTCCGCTGCCATTGTGAGCAAAGCTCGCTCTCCGCTGAATATCTTCTCGCGTCGTTGAAGTCGTTCTTCATCAGCAGCCTTTGCTGCTGCCTCGTCTTGCTGGCGCTGCTGTTCAATTGCCAACAGATGTGCCTTCTCGGCGTCCTCTGCCTTCTTCTTTGTTGCAGTTGCTACTGCATCCGACCGTTGCTTGGCTTCGGTAATCAGAAGCAGCATCCGGGCCTGATAGGCCTCGTTCGTTTCCGCGGACATCTGGTCCATAACGGCTGTTTTCGAGCTCGTAAGCATAGACCAGGCTGGGGCCTGCTGACGTGGCACTCCCTGCTGCTGACGTGGCTGCTGACGTGGCCTGCTGACGTGTCCTGCTGACGTGGTCTGCTGACGTGGCAAGTCACCAATGCTGCCGCAGGGGGTACCCGGAGACAGATGGATAAGGTAAGACCAGAGGGGGCAACAACATAGGTGGGGAGGGGTGGGTGGGGATAAATCGCCCAGATAAGGAGCCACTAATAAAAAAAAAAAAGTCTGAACTTTGCAAAAAAAAATTCGAGAAAATAAAAATCCCGAGTTTTGCAAGTTCAGTAGGTCTCCCAACCTCCCATGAAGTGTTGAAGTTGTCAATGAGAGAATTTTTTTTTTTTCGAACTTTCAGACTGCCAATGATTATCAGGTAGTGAAAATCATTGAACTGCGAATAAGAAAAATTCCAAAAAGAAATAACGAGTATTCGGACTTACTCAGATGAGAGTATTCGCAGTTTGGAAAATGGTCCTGCAAGAGGGATTTCCCGTACCGTTTTTGAAAAAAACCTGAGTGAGGACGCCGCCCGGCCGGGCCTGCCCTGCCAGGCTGGGCCCAGACGGTTGGGGGGGCCGCCCAGGTAAACCGGGCAGGACAAAAAACCGCCCATAATTTTTTTTTTTTTTTTTTGAAACCGGGGTCGTTCTGTGCTTGGCGAGAGGACCCCGAATCTGCAATAAAATTTTGGTTTTGGTGGGGGAATGGGGGGGTTGGTCTGGGTGGGGGGTGCTGGGGTTGGGGGGGTGTCTGTGATGGGG